TGCTTTGCCCCTGAGGAGAGGCAGGAGCCGGGCAGAGGGCGGAAATCTCCCATTCACGGTCGTTAAAGCCAAGAGATATGCTGGATCTCCAGGGTATGGCCACATCCAGACAGCCAACCTTCCTGCCCTTGGGCCAGTGGCATTTCTACCCAGACTCTGCCCCTGTCACATCCCACCTCCATCCCCCACTTCATGCTCATTCCCATTCCCATCCCCACTCCATCCCATCTCCATTCCCTGTCCTTGTCCTTGCCCCACCCCCATCATCCTCCTCTCCATCCCATCTCCATCCGCTGTCCCTGTCCCATCCTTATCTCTATCCTCATCTCCATTTGCATTTACATCCCCATCTCCATCTCAATCCCTATCCCCCTCTCCATCTGCATTTCCACCCCCATCACCATCGTCATCTGCATCACATCCCCATCCATTGTCCCTGCCCCATCCCATCCTCCTCTCCATCTCCACCTCCATCCCACTGCCCCTTCCCTTGCCCCATCCCCATCTCCATCTTCATCTCCATCTCACAGAATGTTTGGGGTGAGAAGGGACCTTAAAGCTCATCTAGTTCCAACCCACAGCCACGGGCAGGGATACTGTCCACTAGAGCAGGTTGCTCCAAGCCCCTGTGTCCAACCTGGCCTTGAACACTGCCAGGGATGGGGCAGCCACAGCTTCTCTGGGCACCCTGTGCCAGCACCTCAGCACCCTCACAGGGAAGAACTTAATGTCTAATCTAAATCTCTCATCTTTCAGCTTAAAGCCATTCCCACTTGTCCTGTCACTACACGCCCTTGTGAAAAGTCCCTCTGCAGATTGTTCCCCATCCTTATCCATTGTCCTTGCCCCACCCCATCCCTATCCCCATCTCCATCTTCATCCCATTTTCATTTCCATCCCCTGCCCCTGCCCCATCCTCATCTTATCGCCACCTCCATCCTCATCTCATCCCATCCCCTCTCTTCCCTATGCCTGGCACAGGGTTAGGGGTGCACAGCCAACACCAGCATGTCCCAGCATGGATGGGCAAAAGCCAGTGCCTGGACCTGAATGTTACAGCTCTGGCTGCAACCCTGGGGCTGGCGAGCAGCAGGGACGGCCCTCAGAGGCTGTGCGGGGTGAAGAAGAGGAGGGAAGGCTGG